TCGAGTTGCGAATTCATTGGTTATTTTTGCAAATCCAAAAAAAGTTGGTTAAAATCGTATATTATAAGGCATTTTCGGTCACTCAAGTTATTTTCTTCACTTTAACCACTATTATTACTCTCTAAACTCTTTTCATTTAGAAGACGTAATTGATGCATGTTACATGACGTGTGAAACAAACATTTATTGTTTTTATTTAATTATTAACATTGTTATTTGATCCTATTGGATGACATTACAGCCGAATTTATTTTTAAATATCTAAAAAAATATTTTAAAATTAATCATAAATCATTAACATGAACATTAAAACAGTCATATGAACATTTGTTGTTTAAAGAAAAAAAGAGAAGCGTGAAAAGAAGGTGGAAAAAAAATGAAGTCATTATGGACTTGAGAAAACATAGAACCATTGCATGGATCCTTGTTTAAGCCCATAGATCAACTTACTAAGCTTATAGACCATGTCTGTACCTTTGAGATCAGACCGGTAACCAAGGGGTAATTTCATGTACACTTTTTTAGTTTTTTATCCAACACTACGTTTAAAAATGCGTTGTTTATATCCAGTTGCAGTAAATGCCATCCTTGGACTGCTGCAAGAACAAGCAAAATCCTAAACGAAGTCATTTTTGCAATAAGTAAAAACATGTCGATGTAATCAATCCCCTCAACTTGTGTAAATCTATTCGCCACCAACCGGGCTCTGTATCGATCAACCGAACCATCAACTTTATGTTTGATCCGATACACCCATTTACAATATATATCACTCTTTCCTTCAGGTAAAGAAACAATGGACTGAGTATCAAGAGATTTCATGGCTCGAAGCTCATCATCCATGGCATTCCTCCAAGCTGATGAATGAACAACTTGATGATAAAATGACAGTTCAAACTCAGAAGAAACATTGGAAACAAACCCATAATTTTCATATGAAAGTCTCTAGGAAGACAAGAAATCTTCAATAGGATAAGAAACACGGGCACTGTTGCAATAATAACATTAAATATACGATTGTCGCTGAGCAACACGAGAAGACCGTGCTGCTGGATAATGTTTCCAACAGACTGTTGAACCATGCCAAAAATGATATGCTTAGTATTACACATCTCATCATTAACATGGTATTCCATAGCAATCTCGTGACGATTGTGTTGAACTGGCAACGAAACATTCTTCCCATGCTAAGGTTCCAAAACAGACGAATGATCCACCAATTCAAACACAACATTTGGTAAACAAAAATCCTGGAAGACATCAACAGAATGATCAGATAGTTGAATATTGTGAAAGGGGAAAGTATCCTCATAAAATACCACGTTTTGAGAAACCACAAGCTTTTGAGTATGTAGCACAAACACTCGAAATCCCTTGACACCAAGAGGATATCCAAGAAAAACAACTGGTAGAACACGAGCAAAAAATTTATCTTCTTGTGATTTCAACGTGGAAACAAAACCCAGACTTCCAAAAAACCTTCAAACGATCATAATCTGGTAAATGACCATACAATAATTCATAAGGGACTTATTGCTTAGGACATGTTATAGAAGTCGATTAATCAAAAACATTGCAGTGGGCAAGCAATCACCCCAAAATCTGAGTGGCACCTTGGACTGAAAATACAAGGCTCGAGCTACAGATAATAAGTACTGGTGTTTTCGCTCAACCAAAGAATTTTGTTGAGGTATTTCCACACAAGAAAACTGATGAATTATTCCTAAACTAGCGAACAACTCAGTGAACTTCAACTCGGGAGCATTATCAGACCTGAACCTCTTGATATCAAAGCCAAATTATCTTTTCACCATGGCAATAAACGCATGTATGATTGAATGAACATCAGATTTGTGCTGTAGTAAATACACCCAAGTAGATCTCAAAAAATCATCAACTAATGAAGTCTGATTCGAATAAGTATTATGCTTGTAAGGTCCCTATATGTTACAATGTATGAATTCAAAACGTTGTTTAGTGTGTGAACAAGAAATAGGAAAGGACGATCGTTGTTGCTTAGCCAACGGGCAAACTTGACAATAATATTTCTTATTAACAACTTTAAGAGACAAAATGTCCTTAAAAAGATGCATAACATAAGAGATAGGATGACCTAACTTGTTATGCCAAACAGTAAACAAACCACTAGAAACATTATTACAAAAGAAATTAGATCCAAAAAAATCATTTGAAGCAAATAGAGGCCTTGAAACAGCTCACCCTTCCCAATCACTCGATGAATGTCCTGTATCAAACAATTCATTTTGTAAAAGAACACACTAAAGTCAGAATCGATTAATAAAGAACATACTGACATAAGCTTGAACTGAAAATTAGGTACAAATAATACACCATGCAAAATAAAATCGATAGAAAATTTGATTGTTCATGTAAACTTTACTAATATAGTGGACTTGTCTGGTAAAGTAACTGAGTAACCCACGATAGGAACCAATGATTGAAAGAGAGATCTTGAATATCACACATGTTGTGAAGCTCCAGAATCCAAAATCCAACAATCAGTTTTTGCAACATATAAATCTTCCATATGCGACAGATGATTACCTTGCATTGGAGTATTAATGGATGTGGAGGGAGCATCCAAAGAAGAACCAGATTGGAGTTGTGAAGTAAGCATTGCAATTAACTGATGACGTTGCTGAGGAGTGAACGCGTCACCAACCATAGAACTCGAAGATTCTTGATGAGAAATGATAGAAATAGTATGAGCCACCTGAGATCCCTTACCACGAACAACAAAAGATCCATTCTTGAAGCCATATCCTAGTAGAAAACCATGCAATCTATAACATTTATCCCTTGTTTGACCAAGAATGTTACAGTGACTGCATGGTCTATTTATACGAGTACAGATTGGGTCTTGACAGTAAAAATAGGTTCTAAAATAGGAAGGACAAGCTGAACACTTCTTTGATTTTCTTCTTGAAGAATCAAGGAAAAGACTTTAGAAATCGAAGGTAAGGGATCTATTAAAAGAATTTGTCCCCGTACATGAGCAAAAGACTCATTCAATCCCATTAAAAACTTAAAGAATTGCTCCTACTGTTGTTTATTAATCATACGTTGTACACCCTCACAAGTACAATAAAGGAAACTGTACAATTGTTTAAGAGAAAATAATTCATCCCAAATTATCTTTAGCTGCGTATAGTAGGTACTTACTGATAATTGATCTTGCACAAGCTCACACAGACGTTTCTTTAACTGAAACAATTGAGGTCTATTCGATTGTTAAAAACGATCGACCAAATCTTTCCACCTTTCTGCTGTGGAGGTGTGATAAAGCAAGCTCGCAGCGATGTCTTTAGAAACTGAATTCAGGATCCAAGAGATCACCAAGTTGTTGACCCTTGTCCAAGCATGAAACTGGTCTACCATGGACGAATTAGGGGCAGCAATCGAACCATCAATAAAGTCGAGCTTGTTATTGGTAGAGAGAGCAAGCATCATCGATCTTTTACAACTATGAAAATTGTCAGTAGAGAGCAATTGTGTTGCCAAAACAACACTAGGATTATCGGTTTGGTGCAAATAATAGGGATTACTCCCATTATCGAAGTTGTCATTCAATAGTGTAACCATGATGAAACACGAAAGTGTGAAGAAAAATTATAAGAAAACTTGGCTCTGATATCTTATAAAATTCAAGGAAGAAATGAAGAATGACTCAATTTTTCATTTTTCAAAAAAATATAAGGTTGCTACTTATATACAAATATTAAAATCTAATTGCCAAGATTAACAGAAGCTAACCACCCTAACTTACTAACGATTAACTTTAAACGATGAAGTAACCTAATAATGAAAGTTCGAGATAAACAATCAATGATTGAAGGAGAAGGAGAATGAGAAGGAGGGGTAAGGAACTTTCGCTAAGGAGTCAGCAATAAAATTGGCTTCATAGTAGATTGAGCAGAATTCAACTGTCCAGTTTCAAACAACAAATTTAGAAATGACACGCCCAGTGCGATCAGACTTGAACATGCAGAGGGAGAAGTTGTCATTTTGAAGGCTACAGAGTAATCAGTTTGACACTGAATGCGATCAAAACCTTGATTCCAAGCGATCATGAGACTTTCAGAGATGCCACCAAGCTCGGCAAAAAGAGGGGTAGAAGGGTCTAGCAATCTGGTAAAGCCAACGATCCATTTATCAGCATTATTCCGTAAAACACCACCAGTACAACCACGAGGAGGGTTAGTTGAGACCAAAGCATCAGTGTCAAAGTATACCAATCTTGAGAAGATGGAATCCATTGAATAGAAACTGGAGAAAGAGCCGTTAAAGGCCTTAGACGATTAGAAGATCCTTCAATGAAATAAAAGGCCCAGTTCTGACTGATTATACGCAGATCATCATCGTGGATTCAGAAACTTGTGAATATTGTTGAGTTTTTGTGTTTCCAAGCTTAGCAAATTAGAGAACAAAAGAATATACTCCAGGGAATATTGATACATGGGATGATACAATGAGATTTGACATTTCAGTCTTCAAGTTGTAGGTTATCAAAACTAAAGAGATGCTTAGTGGTTGCAATGTTGTGCCAAAGAACCGGATGTCCGAGTAGTCCTGAAGAACGCGGAGAGTCGAATTTTTTAGCTTTTATATAACTTTTGAAGATAGAAAAAAAAAGCTTTAAGAATCAAAGTAGTGAAAGTATGGTAATTAAAGGACTAAAAAAGTATTAAGCCATTTAAAAAAATTAAACCAAGAGAGGGAAATGGAATATAAATCCAGAAAACATTTCCCAGCCAAATCAAAAGATAGAGAAGAAGCAAAAGGTTGAAATGGAACTTCATTTAGAGTGCACAGATATGAGTGTCTGGAAAGAAGCTCTCTCCACGTACAAATATCGAATCGAATCTCTAAACAAGCCAAACTTGGTTTCTCTCGACGAATTTTACAGCGACGAACTTCCATCTCTTCTCCACCAATGAAACCCTAACCCTTTCATTTCCACCTCCGAATTCTCCCGCCTCATGCAATGGAAGCTCACGCGCGGCAAATGGAGGCCCCGTTTGTTAGATTTCGTTTCCTCTTTGGAAGACTCCTCGGTAAAGTCCGCTTCCCAAAAGGCTTTCCGGTTCCTTCCCGACACCTACAAAGCCATTTCAGAGCTCACGGTTTTGAAAGGAGTCGGCCCCGCTAAGGTTGGTGAAAATATTTTGTTTCTTTTGAATGTTTACTGTTATTAATAGGTGATATTTGATCCGTCACTAATCTTGTTTATATTCTTAGCAAATTATTATTTTTTGATGTGGTAACAGCATCATATATCTCAACGAATAAGGCAACTCTATTATTTTGTCGTTGACAGTATTTGTTGGAAACTTTTCTCCTCTGGATGTCTGATTGAAGTACTTAATTCAATCTGTATAGAAGACACTGAAGATTTGGCTATGCTGTATTTACTAAAAATTGATTAATGAAAGAAGCTGAATTCGTGATGTTTGCATGTTTGACAGCCTTTTTACAATCTTATAGAATCAGTTAGTTGGTTCCTAACTCATATAGTTAGAGGGTCAAAATCCATTTCCTTGAAATTTTCATACTACACACTAACTCGCTACTATCTTCACCAACCTTTTCAACCTTTATTTTCCTTAACCACAAACATCACTCTTCCTACGCTGCTAATCCATTTCAACATATCTTTCATCTTTCCACTTCCATATTTTACTTATCCATTTCTATTTTACTATGTTATTTGCGAATATCAGATTACATTCAATGTAATGTGGAGTTATTACCAGAATCACGATTGGGCGCACTCGTATGACTCAGAACACATAATCGAAATCATATCATAGTCGGTCCCCATTCTAAGCTTATTTGTTGGCTCTATCTGTTCATGGGTCATGATCTATCGCATACTGTCATGGCGGCAGATCAGTTAATTGTCTGTAGGCAATTTTCCTTACGTGCGTGATCCATGGGATGATGGAATACATTTCTAAAGGACGGTCTATGTTTTTATTACAGGAATTAAGTTCAAAAGGTGACTCCTTCACACCTTCAGATGTAGAAAGGTCTCTGTGGAGTTCAGCTGTAGGTGTAAAGTTGCAATCTTCACCGACAGTTCCGGACAATAAGATCAAGGGAAGCAACAAAAGAAAGAGAAAGCATTGATTTAGCACTGTGGTGGATGATGGAAACTTTTGTCAGTTCTAACTTGTTCAACTGTTTACCTGATACTAGCACTTTATAAATGTGATGATGTGCCTTGGTGATATCGGACAATACAAACTTGGAATGTAGGCAAAATATATGGGCACTTGTGCCCAATTTCTTACAAATTAATTTCTTTTATGAGATGGTATGGTCAAGGTTAACCCTTAGATATTAGTTGAAGTATTCAGAGTAACTTTAGTATGAAATTATTCGAGCGAAATGTTGAAGTTAATGATAGGTTTGATATCTTCTTTTTCTTGCCCCTACTTTTGCTGATGGTAAATTTTATTAGAGGGTCAAATTGTGAAGTGCAGGAGCTTTAGCTTTAAACCACAGCATTGCAGAAGGCTAAATTGTGATGAGGGTGGACGCAAGTAATTAAAGAGCAAGCAAGAAGCCACGTCCGACCTCACCATTATAAGGATGTACAGATTGGACATTTAAACCCACAAGCAGACTAGGGTTGGCCGAAGGACAATGTTCTATTTATGGACTCTTTAATGGTTTAGTCTAGCTGTTAGCAAATTGAAAAAGAAAAAAAAAAGGTATCTAAATTTAAAAGTAATTTACACCAAACATGTACCGATGGAATTTTCATTTTCCTTGATAAAACAAAATGCAGTTTAATTTAACAAAAAGTTGCACGAAAAGAGCGGGTGTTTATTCTTCTCGTAACCACGTTGTCGCCGGAGCAGTCCCCATTTGATATTTATTTTCTATAAAAACAAGGCACACCAAAAGGAAATGTCGTCACCGCCCACCCTCACTGGCTAGGCTGAATTGTTACAGAATTTTTTTGGTATTTACACGTGTCCACATTTCATTCGCCGCAACACATCTCGCTTGAAGACCCTTCCAAAAGGTCCCCAGTGTATACTATGCACCGAGAGGGGCCTCGACTGATATCTTCAACTTTCAGGTCTCTTGATTCTTCGACCTCATTCAACGGCTTTAACTACCAAACTGGTTCAGAATGACTATTCTTCCTGTCATAACCATTATTTTTTGAAAAACCATTAAATATTGTTTTAAAAAAACAATTAATGTTTTAAAAAATAATTATGACTTTATTTTAAAAAATTGTTGATTTTGAATTGATTTGAATTAGATTGAAAGGGAGTCGCCATCATCATTTGAGTTAAGTAGGTCGAATACTTAAATATGTCTTTTAAAACAATTTTAAGAAAAAATCGTCTTTAAGACAAAAGTTGGTATGTGTTTACCAAAAATTCGATTTAACGGGTCCAAGAATCGATTACGCGTGGGGAAGGATTAACACCCTCACAGCGCCCAAAATTGATACTCAATCGCTTACACATTGTCGTAGTATTGGAAATTATGAATCGAATATAATGTTAAATTATGATACAAGCATTGAACATTGATTAATTTATTCCGAATTATTAATTTAAAGAAAATCCTTTAACTTGATAAGAAATCTTGAAATTTGCTATCATCCGTCAGGAAAGTTATCTCAACTATTTCTCATTCGTAAAAAGATATTCTATCGCACATCGAATATAAACTGCAAATTAACATTTTGCATACAACAAAATAAATTGCTATTTAGAGAAACATACATTGCATTGTCCAACTTAAGAATAAAAATGAATTAATTAGCAAAATAAAATCAATTTATTTCAAGATCACATTTTGTTTGAATGCCGTATCAGATCGCACTACTTCGATCAAGCAATATTTTTCATGCCCATTCTACAAATCGTTGTTCTTGAAATTATTCGAATGAGTGGCATTTAAAATGTTATTACTTAATAAAACATCTAACGAAAATATAAATACGTACATAAACAAAATATGTAAAATAGATGAACAGATATAAACATTCAAACATAAAAAATTTTAATATGACATACCATGTATAGCGATATTTTCCACGAACATACAAACAGTATTTCTAAAGTACTAATCTACAGTAAATAAATAAACAGAGATCAAAGCAACAAAGTAAAACAAGAACATGGGGTTAACAGGTAAATATCCACAAATTTTTAAGCTAGAACAATGATTAATTTACAAATACTAAAGTACATAGGGACTGATAACCTAAATAAACTAAAATCAAACGAACATTAAACACAAAGGAATAACATGAAATAAAAACAAATTACGGGATTCATCGAAGTATTTAACCAAAACATTAAAGCATATGCATGATGACTAAAACATAAAAATGGAAACATGAAAGGTTTGAATACATAAATATCCCATTTCATTTCAAACCAACATACCATATTACAAAACTCAGGGGACTATAATCACAATTTTCCCCTGAAAATCCAAAAAACAAGGGAATGGTGGTGCAAAACGGCACTGTTTTGATCCATGTACATAAGCCTGAATTTAGGGCTTTTCCCTTTATCCTATTCATTTGCTTCTTTGCTTCAAAAAAGGGATAAATAGTTCCCCAAACTCTCTCAACTCCCCATCGCCGAAAAAGGGGGAGCCGTCCATCACCGGAGGCACTCACGGAGGTAGACGGCAGCTCTCAAGGCGGTTGAATGAAGCAAAAGACCTCACAAGATTCATCTCCTCACTCTTAAACCAAAATCCAACTCCCCTTAACAGAAAACTCACCCTAAATCCATAGATCTAAGCTTTTACCTTTCACAAATTTTGAAAAATCAGTGGCTTTTGGACTCCCGAATTACTTTGAACCAAGGTAGGTGTTTCTTTATTTTTTTTTTCTCTCTTTGTTTGGTTTAGCTTTTTTTATTTTTTCTGTTGATTCCTAATGAGTGTTTAGAATCATTAATATTTGCTCGTTATTTCTTTGATCTTGTGGATTTATTGTTGCTGATTTGGTTGTGTTATGCTTATTTTCGTGCAGGTCCTTACTTTCCAGAACTAGTGGTAAAATGGGTGTATTCTGCATTTTTTATTATTTGGTCACGGTTGGAGACATGGGCACGACTCTAGGCAAGACACGGTCTGATGTGACAGTTTCTAGAAGGTCCAGTCAGCGGCAGTTTCTAGAAGATCTACTCAGCGCGCCTTCTGGAAGATGGACGAGCAGAGTTGCATTAGGAGACTTGTTTAAAGTTTGAATTTAGGAAAAAAATTATCTTTAGGATAAACAATTATCTTTGGGATTATTTTATTTTAATTTCTTTATTTATCTCTAGGTTTTTAGAGGCTATAAATAACCTCTTGGGGTAAGCCTAAACACACAACTCAGATTACAATTCTCTTTTCTTTCTAGTTTTATAAAAGTTCTCTCATTTTATTTTTCAAGTTTTCTATTTTTAATTTATTTTTAAAGCTTTGTTTTTAAATATGCTAAGTATGACTTTTGTCATGCTTAGATAAATTTTTCATAAGTCGAGAGCTGAAGCGATGAATCAATTCCAACGAGAGAATTGAAATAGTCCCTTAACAACTTCGGAATATCTCTCTCAATCTCTGCGCTTATTTTTCAAAATCAAAACAGTTTTCAAAATCAAAGATGGACTTTGGTCAAGAGGTTGTTGCGATTAAATGTGTAGGAGGAAGATTCGGCTTATAGAAAGCACATTTGACTTTCTGGGAACACAGTTGGCGAGATAGTTTCGCCAAGAGGGAATTGAGATCCGAATTGATGGTTATTGAGGCAACAATCCGAGTCGGTCACCACGAACTTAAACGGTAATTGATTTACGACAATTGATGTTGATTAGATCAATTTCCAAAGCCGGAATCAAAGATTGCCTCGGGTATTCATTATACAAAATAGAGTCATGGGGATTGCTCTTGTAGACAAAGTAATCGACGTGAATCCCAAAGGGAAAATCTAATTTGATGATCTGAAGGAAATTGAGTAAAAACGAGGCTTGAGGCTATTTTTACCATATCCATTTTCAACTTTAAAATCTTTTCTTTATTTCAATTTAAATCACTTTTATTATCATTTAAATATCTTTTTACCAAAATCCCCCTCACTTTACTATTTCACGCCTGGTCTAAACAATTCAGACAGAAAGTTATAATTTTTTAAGTCCTTGTGGAATCGACCCTTATTTCTCTTTACTACGTATTTCCTTATTTATTAATTGAGAAAAATAAATTTATTTTGACATCGAATTGAAAGTTGTCAAATTGGCGCCGTTGCCGAGGACTTCACCAAAGTTACTAATTTTTGTTTGCTTTTAATTTATGACCAGGACAAATACGGGCGCATTAGTGGAGTACGACCCAGAAATCGAAGCCAGAGCTAGGAGACTTCACGCACAGATGCTTCGGGAAAGAATGAGACATCAATCAAATCTAGAATCAGAATCAAATTCAGGTGAATTCGTTAATATAGAACCAATTTAGATGGTCGATCCTACCATCATAGAGTTAGCCGCAACACCCACTGAACAAGAGCCTTTGTGAATTAATTTTCCCCAAGGCAAAACTCCATACCAGTTAATAACCGGCCTTATTCATCTCCTCCCTACATTTCGCGGATTGCCAAACGAGAATCCACATAAACATCTCACGAAATTTGACATGGTCTGCTCCAACATGAGACCACAGAGAGTAACTAAGGATCAAATAAAACTTAGAGCTTTTCCTTTTTCCTTAGTCGATTCGGCTAAGGAGTGGTTATTTTATTTACCTCTAATTCTATTACTACACGGGCTCAAATGACTCGTCTATTTCTTGACAGGTTTTTCCTTGCGGCGAAGGTAAGTGAAATACGAAGGAGAATACTTGGAGTCAGGAAACTAGATGGAGAGTCACTTTACGACTACTGGGAGCAGTTTAAAAAGTTATGTGCTAGTTACCCACAACATGGGTTAACAGAACAAACACTCCTTCAATACTTTTATGAAGGATTTAACTCCCCTGGAGATGAAGATGATCGATGCCGCCAGTGGTGGAGACTTGGTGAACATGACCCCTACTGAGTCTAAGGATTTAATTTCCACAATGGCCGTAAATTCTCAACAGTTCCACATAAATAATGAACCTCCTCG